GGGCGTCTCTGGGGCCGTCGTGGAGGCCTCCTGGGCCTTCTTGGGTTCGTTTTCGGCGGTCTTGGGCTTTCTTGGAGCGCTCTTGGGCCGTCTTGGGGGTGTGTGGGGCCGTCCTGGGCGCCTCCTGGGAGCCTCTTGGGACCGCCTGGGGGCCGTGTTGGGCGCCTCTTGGGTCTCTGGACGCTCTCGCGGGCCGGTTTTCGTGCCTCTGGGGGGCCTCTTGGGCCGTCTTGGGGCGGTCGTGGGGACCCCTTGTCCCGTCTTGTGCGCCATATTCCCGACAAGCAGTGTATGGCAAAATTTTCAACTTTTCTTCGGAAAAACAATGATTTGGGCCTGTGGGGGCCATCCTGGGACGCCTCTTGGGCGTCTCTGGGGCCGTCGTGGAGGCCTCTGGGCCTTGTCGGGGCCGTTTTCGGCGGTCTTGAGCTCTCTTGGAGCGCTCTTGGGCCGTTTTGGGGGTGTCTGGGGCCGTCCTGGGCGCCTCTGGGGCCGCGTGAGCGCCTCTGGGGCGTCCCCGGAGCCGTTGTGGGGCATTTTACGCCCATCAAGACAGGGACACTTCCCGCACGCACGGGTCCCTGAATTGTAGAAAAGACTAGAGCTGACCCGGCCCGCGTGCAGAAGCTGAGATTGCTTGCCTGCTTGCCTGCTGTTTTGCGCGAGTAGCTGGTAGCCAGACAGTTGTCTTCCCGACGTCACTGCCAGCATGCTGGCAGGCCTGGCGGTCGCAACTGACCCTCTGCCGCACGCCGTGGCAGCGGGGATGGCCGCCAGCCGGCCGCGGGCAATGCAGCGGCTGCTTGTTTCCTGCTGCTAGCTACTAATTGCTACCGCTGCTGGCTTGCGTGCTGCCGGATATGGAGGCCGTGCTGGGGGGCCCTATGGCCGAAACTATTGGGGGCCTCGTTGGGTCCTCGTGGGGCCGTCCTGGGCCGTCTGGGGTTCTCTGGGGGTCTGTTGGGCCGTCGTGGCGCTCTCTGGAGGGCGTGTCGGGCCGTCTGGAAGCTCTCCGAAGCTTTCTATATATTCTGGGAGCCCTCTGTCTGGGGCCGCCCTTGGGCTCTCTTCAGGAAGTCAAAGGCCGCCCAGAGGGCCCTAAGACGGCCCGAAGACGGCCCGAGACGGCCCAAGGAGGCCCCGAAAACAACCCAGGAGGCTCAATGGCGGCCCCCAGAGGGCCCAAGGTGGCCCGCAAGGAGGCCAAGAGTCTCCCCCGAAGCCGTCTTGGAGCGGTCTCGCGTCGAAAAGCCTGCGAAGCAACAGACATACATCTTCCTTTGGGTGTTGGAAAGCTTGGCAGTTGCCGTGGTCTTCTGGACAATTCCTGCAAGGCCTCTTGGGGCGTCTAGGAGCCTTTTGGACGCCTCTTGGAACCGCTTGAGATCTCTCGGGGGCCCTGTCTGGCGGCTGTCGGGGCCAATTCTGGCCATCTCGGACATTACAGAAGGCTGTCTCTGCGACGTCTTGGGGACCCAGGACCCACAGGGACCCAGAGGCAGTGCCGACGCCGCTGGAGGCCGAGAAAGCGATTGGCCCACGGACTTCTCCCAGGTTTGAAAGGATGATGATAATTTCGAGCTCCAGTTTCAGAATTTTTGACGTTGCGGCTCGCTCTCGGGAACCTCGGGTTGAAGAGCTTACTGTGTCACCGTTCGCTCTTGGGAGCCTTGGGTTGAAAAGCTTTCTACTGTACCGATCGCTCATATATTTTCGTCTGTGCGCTTTCTCAGTGGTCCTTATGGGGGACTTGTTGGGGCTCTTCAGGGGCCGTTTTGGGCCGTTCTGTGACCGTTTTGGGACGTCTTGGGGCCCGTTTGGGCCGTCACGGGGCGTCTTGGAGGCCTTGGACCGTCTTGGGGCTCTTTGGAGGGCTTCCTGGGGCACTCTTGGGAGCCTCGTCGGCCCTCTTGGAGCCGTCTTGGAGCCCTCTCAAGCCGTTTGAGGGCCCCCTCGGGCCGTCTTTGGGCCCTCTTGCAGCGTCTTGGGGCTCTCTTGGGGGCCACTTGGGTCGTCTTGGGGGGTTTTGGAGGGCCTCTTGGCCTGTCCTGGACCGTGGAATAACTCAAAAGGCGGAAATGCTGAAGATGTACGGTTTCCGTTCGGAATGTGACCATGTTTGCCTCGTTGGGGTCCTCTCGGGGCCCTCTCGGAGTGTCTTTGGGGCCTCTTCGACCGTCTTGGAGCCACCTTCTGAGGTCGTTGGGGCGCCTTGGAGGCCGTGGACCGCCTTGGGGCTCTCTGGAGAGCTTCCTGTGGCCTTCTCGGGAGCCTCGTCGGGCCCTCTTGGAGCCCTCTTGGGGCCGTCTTGGAGCCCTCTCAGGCCGTTTGAGGGCCCCCTTGGGCCGTCGTTGTGCCTCTTGCAGCGTCTTGGGGCTCTCTTGGGAGCCGCTTGGGTCGTCGTGGGGGGGTGTTGGAGGGCCTCTTGGCCTGTCCTGGACCGTGTAATAACTCAAAAAGCGGAAGTGCTGAAGATGTACGTTTCCCTCTCGGAATGTGACCATGTTTGCCTCGTTGGGGTCCTCTCGGGGCCCTCTCGGAGTGTCTTTGGGGCCTCTTCGACAGTCTTGGAGCCACCTTCTGAGGTCTTTGGGGCGCCTTGGAGGCCGTGGACCGCCTTGGGGCTCTCTGGAGGACTTCCTGGGGTCCTCTTGGGAGCCTCGTCGGGCCCTCTTGGCGCCCCCTTGGGGCCGTCTTGGGGCCCTCTCAGGCCGTTTGAGGGCCCCCTTGGGCCGTCTTTGGGCCCTCTTGCAGCGTCTTGGGGCTCTCTTGGGGGAAACCTCTTGGTCTGTCCTGGACAGTGTAACCACGCAAACAAAAACGGATACCACGAACATGTGCGTTTTCCCTTCAGAATATGGCCATGCTTGCCTCGCTGGCGTCCTCTCGGGGCCCTCTCGGAACGTCTTTGGGGCCTCTTGGACCGTCTTGGAGCCACCTGCTGAGGTCTTTGGGGCTTCCTGGGGCCCTCTTGGGAGCCTCTTCGGGCCCTCGTGGGGCCGCCTTGGGGCCCTCTCGAGCCGTTTGAGGGCTCCTTGGGCGATGTTTGGGCCCTCCTTGGACCGCCTGGGGGCCCTCTTCGGGGCCGCTTGGGCCGTCTTAGGGGGTGTTGGGGGGCCTCTCGGCCTGCCCTGGACCGTGTAGCAACGCAGAAGGCGGAAATGCGGAACCTGTACGTTTTCCCCTCGGGATGTGACGACGTTTGCCTCGTTGGCGCTCTCTCGGGGCCAAGCGGAACGTCTTTGGGACCTCTTGGACCGTCTTGTAGCCGCCTTCGGAGGTCTTTGGAGCGTCAAGGCCCGTCTCGGCACCAACTGAGGCCGTCTTGGAGCGCTCTTGGACCGTCTTACAACCCCTTTGGGGCGCCTCTTGCGCCGTCGCGGGCGATTCGACCACGTGGTGGGGCCGTGAGGTGGGATCTTATGCACTTGGGTGCCCACCTCTCTGGCACGCGCTTCCGCCCGCCATGTAGGATAGACTGGTGTGCACCCGTGAGAAACCTCTGGCAAGCAAGTCGATGAGTTGGCCCCGAAAGCGCAGATGTCGCCGATGCGAGCAGCAGAAGGAGAGGGAGAGCGGCACCAGAGAAAGCTAGGTGGAGGCCCCCTGAGGCAGATGGGGAGGAAGAGGAGGAGGTGGAAGCGAACGGGGAGAAGAGCTTTCTGTGGATGAGTTAGGGGTCTGGAGCTTTCTTTGGGGCCACTGTCGTGGATGTCTCCCTAATCTCGGCCGTCGGGGGAGGCTGAGGGTTACTAGTGTGTGCATGGGGGGAGGGGATGAGAGGGTGAGGGGCAGAAAGGCAAGCAGAAAGATGAGGAGAGCGGCGCCTGAGAGAAGGGTGTGGAGTCACCGGGAGGAGGTTGAGGAGGAGGAGGAGGAGGAGGTTGAGGAGGATGAGGATGAGGATGAGAATGAGGATGAGGGTGAGGGTGAGGATGAGGGTGAGGGTGAGGATGAGGATGCTGCTGATGATGCTGATGATGATGATGCTGATGATGCTGATGATGATGATGCTGATGATGATGCTGATGATGATGATGCTGATGATGATGCTGATGATGATGATGCTGATGATGATGATGATGACGAGGAGGAGGAGGAGGAGGAGGAGGAGGAGGAGGAGGAGGGAGTGAGGAGGAAGAGAAGATAGGAGAACTGGCAGAGGGGTTTCTGGAGCCTTGTTTGGGGTTCGTTCTCTTTGGGGCGACTGGGGATCCAGAAACGGCGAACGGTGCTGGGGTCGGAGGCCGTCTTTGGAATTCCTTAGCAATTATCGGAGCTTCCTGGAAGGATCTGGGGCACCCAGGCGTGGTCTGGAACCTTCTTCAGGGTCTGGGGCTTTCTTTGGGGCTTCTGGGAATCTAGAAACGGCGAACAAGTGCTCATGCTGGAGGAGGCCCTTTTGGGAGCTCATTGGGTGTTGGCGTCTGCCGTGATTCTCGGGCATCTCGGAGTGGTCAATCTTGGACGGGGGGCCTTATAGGCCCTATTGGACCATTGTGGGACTCCGTTGGGACGACTCGGAAGCGTCTTGGAGCCCGCTTTAGGCCCTCCTGGGCAGTTCCCAGGGTTCTCCTGGCGCTGTCGTGGGGACCACTTGAGGCTCTGTTAGGCTGTATTGATTCCCTCGTGGACCGTTTTAGGGGTGACCTGGGAAGAACCTGGGGCCGTGTGGGGCCGCTCTGGGCCAGACATTGCAAGATCCTCGACAATCTTACACATCTTACGAGGATGAATTGATGTTGGCCTCGTCGGACCGTCAGCGGGATCTTCGTGGGCCGTCTGTGGATCCTCCTGGCTCGTCTTCGGGCCCCTTGGGCTGCCATAGGGCGCAATTATTCCTGGGCCGTCCTGGCGGCCCCTTGAGCTCACCAGAGCTGCCCTGGGGCCGTCTAAGACTGCCTTGGGGCCCTCTGGGGGCCCGCTGGAGCCGTCGTGGAGGGCCCCGACGCGCGCCAGGAGCTCGCCCGTTGCGCGCGCGCCGCGACCAGAACTGTGACCTGGCTGACGTTCGGCTCCAGCTTCACATCCCGCATCTCGCGGAGCAGCGCCAGAGCCCACCGCCACTGCTCGCACTTCTCGCAGGCGCTGATCCCGGCGCTGTAGCCGATGACGTCGGGCTCCAGCATCGCCTTCCGCATCTGGCTGAGCAGCGCGAGCGCCCGCTGCCACTGCTTGCTCTTCTCGCACGCGCTGATCCCAGCGCCATACAGAATGGCGTCGGGCTCCAGTTTCGCCTCGCACATCTCCCTCAGCAGCGCCAAAGCGCGCTGCCACTGCACGCCCTTCACGCAAGCGCTGATCCCAGCGCTGTAGGTGATGACGTCGGGAACCAGCTTCGCATTCAACATCTCGCTGAGCAGCGCAATTGAGCGCTGCCACTGCTCACCCTTTTCGCACGCGCTGATCCCGGCGTTGTACATGATTAGGGCTGACCCGTGGACTACCATCCACAAATGACAGTGGTCAGAGTGCGCTTGCTGCTGCTCATTGTTTCAGGGTGGCCTGTTTGCCTGATGATTCCGCTGGCGTCCAGAGCAGCGCTAGCATACCAGCGGCAGCAGATCCAGGGGCATGGGCAGTGGCGTCTGGAGCAGCTCCACCGCCTCCTCCTCCTCCGCCTCCTTCTCCTCCTTCTCCTCCTCTTCCTCCTCCTCCTCCTCCTCCTCCTCCTCCTCCTCCTCCTCCTCCTCCTAGGCATCAGGCACATTGGCTCAGGGGGCTGAGCTCGCAGGCCCGATCCCAGCGCGCCGAGGCGGCGCGCGCTCCCCGTGTCTCTTCTTCCACGGTTTCGCCATGTGTCCCTGAGTGGAGTACGGAAGGCGGCACGCAGCGCGGCGAGCGGACCAGGCAGCAGCGCGGGGCCGCCGGGCGTTTGGGACCCCCAGAGGACGTCCAGGCGCAGGCAGCGGCCGCGGTGCGGCAGGCAGTGCAGGCGGAGCGCCTCCGCGCGGCGGGGCAGGCGCTCAGGGTGGCATGGGCCAGAGCGGCACCGCCGCTGGCCTCGCCCCCCCCCCGGCCAGGCAAAGGTCGAGCGAGAGCTCAGCGAGGTGCCGAAAGCACCAACAAGGACACGCAGGAGGGAGAGGCGGAGCAGGTGCAGGGCGTCGAGAGCACCAACAGAGACACGAAGGAGGGAGAGGTGGAGCAGGTGCAGGGCGCGCCTGCTCCGGGCGAGCGGGAAGCGTCGCCCCCGCCGCGGAGGCGCGTGCGGGTTCCCGCCTCGGGTTCCCGAGCGTGCGTCATGGCAGAGCCTGGTGGGCTCCCGGACGCCACGGCGGGGCGCCCCCGCAGAGCCCGGTGCGCTCGCGGGCGTCGCGGAGAGCTCTGGCAAGGCCTCCGAGTCCACCCCTGCGGAGCCCAGTGCGCTAGCGGGCGGCACGGAGTCCTGCGGAGAGGCTCCCGCGCCCGCCTCCGCTGAGCCTGGAGCAATCGCGGGAGGCAGGGCGGGGCCCAGCCGCACCCTGGTCATCCACTCTCGCCGAGCCCAGTGTGCGAGGCGGGGGTTTCTCCATATCCACCGCCTAGGAACCGAAGTCCTATAGTGTCGCAGCGGGCGGTGGATATGGATACATTTTGTCCCCCGGGGGTCCATGTCCACCGCCTGCCGAGATTCCCGAAATTGATCCTCCAGGCGGTGGTCATGTATAAATTCCCGCCTCAGACAGTGCGCTCGCGGGTGGCGGGACGGCGCACCGCTGCGGCCCAGCGGAGCAGGTCCAGGGACTGGGCTCCCAGCGCGGTGCGAGGAGCAGCCAGTCCAGCCCCGCCCCGAGTTCGTCACCCACTCCCCGGGACAGGGGCGGCTGGAATGCTCACGGTCAGAAGCGGACTCGCCGCCGGGGCCGTGGGCCGTGGCCGGCAGGGCCCGGCCCCAACCTCTGGCCCGTCCCAGCCTGGCCGTTCCACTCCACCTTGGCGGCTGCCGGCAGCAGCACCGAGGCGGCCCCGGCCTTAGTAGCTGAAGGGGACCTGGCAAGGCCTGGGCGCGCGGAGTTTAACCTCGAGGGGGCGTTCGAAGTGACGCATGGTTGGGTATGGTGGCGGGGCTGGTTGCCTAGCGCCGTCCGGCCTCTTGGCATGCTGGTTACGGAGGGCGTGGGTGCACTGGAGGAACGCATGGCTGCCCTGCAGGCGGCCGTCGCGTGCGGGTCCATGCACAAGGCGAAGATCCTGAGTTCAGAGATGGACAACAGCGCCGCCCCTGAGTGTTCGGCGCCCCAGGCGGAGCTCCTGAACGCGCAGAGCAGGGCCCCTTCCATCTGGTGGGCGCCCCCTTGCGGCTCCGAGCTAGTGCCAGGAGAAAATCCCTGGATATGCATCTGGACACCTGCGTGCCACCCCAGGCGGAACTCCTGGATGTGGATCGGCGGCGAGCGAGGGGGGGCAGTGAGAAGGAGAAGGCCGTCTCAAGAGGCGGCGGGACTTCCGAGAAGCCCTCGCGCCTTCTGAGAAGATTTCTGCGCCTTCGGGTCAGGCTCAGAAAACTTCTCAGAAGGCTGGGGGACTTCCGAGCCTTCTGAGCAGGCCCGCCCCTTCTCGCTTCCCCCCCTCGCTCGCCGCCTAGTGGAGAGGCGTTCCCCCGGAGGGAGGCGGCGCGGCCCCCAGCGGCTCCGCGCACGTGGCCGCATGGTCCTGGACACGGAGGCGGGCGCCGGCACGGCTCCCCACTCCCCCCTCCTCCTCCTCCTCCGCCTCCTCCTCGTCCTCCTCCTCCTCCGCCTCCTCCTCCGCCTCCGCCTCCTCCTCCTCATCCGCCTCCTCCTCTTCCGCCTCCACCTCCTCCTCCTCCTCCTCCTCCTCCTCCGCCTCCTTCTCCTCCACCTCCTCCTCCTCCTCCGCTTCCTCCTCCTCCGCCTCCTCCGCCTCCTCCGCCTCCTCCGCCTCCTCCTCCTCCTCCTCCCCTCCTCCTCCTCTCCTCCTCCTCCTCCTCGCCTCCTCTCCTCCGCCTCCTCCGCCTCCTCCGCCTCCTCCGCCTCCTCCTCCTCCTCCCCCTCCTCCTCCTCCTCCTCCTCCTCCTCCTCCTCCTCCTCCTCCTCCTCCTCCTACAGGCGCAGATCCGGGACGCAGAGCGCTTTGCCCCTCGGGCGGGCCCTGGTGCGGCCCCGCACGGCTCCGAGTTCAAGGCGAAGATCCTGGACGTGGAGCGCTCTACCCCTTTGGCGGGCCCTGTTGCGGCCCCGCACGGCTCCGAGTTCAAGGCGAAGATCCTGAACGAGGAGGGTTTTTCACCCCTGTAGGCCCTGGTGCGGCCCCCCGCGGTTCCGCGTTCAAGGCGAAGATCCTGGACGACGGTTTTTCACCTCCGCTTAGCCCTGGTGCGGCCCCCAGCGGAGGCTCCGAGTCCAAGGAGCAGATCCTGGACGAGGAGGTTTTCCCCCTCCCGCAAGCTCTGGCGAGCTCGCGGAGGAGCCTCTGTGCGAGGAGGTGGCTCCTCCTCCGGCGGGACCCGCCGCGGACCCCACGGCCCCGAGCTCTGTGGAGAGCCTAGATTCGGACTCAGGCCTAGGGCGACGAAGTCTATACATATCCACTGCTCCCTGGCCAGGCCCATCGTGAGCCCGGCAGCGGTGTATACGCGAGGCCCTCCTGGCTTGGCCAGGAGGGCGTATACACAGCTCCTGGGTTCAGGATGGGCCTGGCCAGGGAGCAGTGGATATGTATAGATCTCGTCGCCCGAAGGCCATGGCACGGCGGCATCTTCCCTGGCGGTGGAGGCGGCAGCGTGGGCGGCTCAGCGCTGGGCCGGCGCGCGTGCCGCTTGGGAGCAGCAGCAGGCGGCCGGCGCGCCGAGGCCGCCGGCGCGCTGCTCCTCGCATCGAGGAGGCTTCGCTGGGCGGCGGGAGGTTGGCCGCGGCCCGCTGCAGCCACGAGCGACCTCGCGCGCGCGCGGGCAACGGCCTTCCCGGCGGCGCCTCACCCGCAGGGGCCACGTCCAGGGCGGCCGCGAGGCCAGGGGCCGCACCGCCCCGCTAGCCATGGGTACTGTCCCGACGAATTCGAGGGGGTCCACGTCTAGGAACGCAGCGCGGTGCGGTCGGGACGGCCCGCGCCCCTCTTCCTGTTTCCTGGCTCTCCGCCCTTCCATTGTTGTCCGCTCTTCCCGCAGCTCTGGTGGAGCTCTCTTCGGAGCATTCGCGACCTCGTCCTCGTCCTCGTCCTCCTCGTCCTCATCTGCCCCCCTCCCGGAAATCCTGCGTCTGCGACTGCGCCGGCAGGGGCGCCCGTGGGGGAGGAGAGCGACGACGGGGAGAAGGCGGAGACGGCCCAATATGATGGGAAATAACCAAGGACTCCACGCCGCTCGGGATACGTTCGGCGCAGGAGTGGCCGCAGAAATAAGCTGGGTGTCCGCTGCCCTGGCGTGCTGTTCGGCCGTCTTCGGAGTCCCTGGAGCCGTCTTGGGTGAGGGCCCTCTGGGGCCGACGTGGTGGCTCTCTCGGGAGCTCCTCGGGCGCCCTGGGGGACCACTCGGGAGGCTTCTCGGAGTGGGTGGGGCTTCTCTTGGACGTGCCATAGGTAGCGAAAGTAAGTGCCCCCAAACCTAGAACATTCCAGTCGGTCGTTGGAGCGTCCAAGATGGCGTCGGCGAGAACGCCACAATCATGGATGTTACTAAGGTGCTGGCTACATTTTGGCCTCCTGGGGAGGGCAACGCGAATTGGAACCTCCCCCTCCTTTGATCGATCTCCTCCAATATTGCTCCAAGATGGCCCCCGAGAACCCCGATGGTGCCCTAAGACGGCCCCAAGAGCATGAGGCCCGACGATGCCCCGAAGAGGCCCCCGAGGGCCCTCCAAGAGGCTCCCGATGGACCCCTAAGAGGCCCCCCAGAGGCACCCAAGACGCGCCAAGAGGCCGCGGCGAGAAGGCCCCAAACATGGATTTTACGTAGGTTTTGACAACACTTGGACCTCCTGGGGGGGGAACCGTAATTCAGGAGCCCCTCCTTTGATCGATCTCCTCCAAGATCGCCCCGAGAAGAGGAGGTCCCACGAGG